TGTGTACACACACAGGTGCATGTGCCTGTGTACCTGTCTCTGTGTACTCACATAGGTGCATGTGCCTGTGCGTTTGTCTCTGTGTACACACATAGGTGCATGTGCAGTTCAGGCTAGAAGCTGAAGACTAATGTCTACCTCAATCACTTCACTTCTCCACCTTATTTTTAAAGACAGGTTTTCGATGACTCAGAGCTCACCAGCTAGCTAGACTGGATGGCCAACAAGCCCCAGAGTCTCCGGCTCCGGTTCATCAGTGCTGTACTGCAGGTACATGACAATACACTTGGCTTTTACACTGATACCGCTGATTTAAATGGGTCTTCACACTTGTACAGCAAGAACTTTCCTGTCTGTGCCATATCTACAGCCTTTTCTTTAATATACCAAACCCTATGTGACCTATGCCTTGGTCATTTCATCTCATACAAGTATTCTGTTAAGCATGATGGAGAACACAAAACTTAAGGAATTTAGATCTCTGATGGAATTTTCTGAATATATATATAAAATACATTTTTATATATATAAAATGTATATACTAATTTTTCTCCTTCCATATAATTATTTCTAAACTGTGTGCTACTCTTGAAGTGAAGATTATCCAATGATAAAACATGCCTTAATTTTAATATATAAAAGAGGCTGGAGAGACATCTCACTGGTTAAACACAACAGTGAGGCCTGGAGACTAGATCCCAAGAACCCATGTAAAATGACAGGTAGGCATAGCAATTTGTCTGAATACCAGTCTCTGAAAGCAAAGAAACAGGGGATCCCCAGAACAAGCCAGCCCAATAAGACCAGCCATATTGGCAAGCTCTGGGTTTAACTGAGACACACACACACACATACACACACATACACACAAATGAAAATTAGATATAGTGACACTTGTCATCTGTTCTGAAACCTCATCTCTACAATGTGTCATTAAATGGAAATAAAAGCATTTCCAAATGGCCAAAACTGTAGTCTTCTCAGGTTGTTTGAATGAAATTGTGTGGGGAAAATGCTATTGATAAAATTGTATGCAACTTCTGTTAGAGGATATGTCCTATAAGGTAGTTGCAATCTTTATTAACCAACTATGTCATCCAATATGGAAGTTAACACATTAATGATCATTTTTATCTTCTCTCTTGTCCTCGTCATACAATAAAAACTCAATACAAAAAGGTTAAACTATGATGTCATGAGAATAACAAGTCTACTTCTGATTTTTATATTATCAATTATTCCCGGATAAACACAACAAAGTCCAATATATAGACGTATCATTTGCAAAAACCATGTCACGTCTCTTCAACTGCTACACAAACGACCTGCAGCTTGGCATCCTATCAATTCACTCTAAACAAAAATTTATTTTATTTTACAACTTACCATAAAAAGTAATTATCCATTATATCATATTAACTTTCTTTGTTTCTATAACTTGTATTCTAGAATACACTCATTATTTTTCTGTCTCTTTTTGTTTCTCTCTATTTAACTGTTTCTTTTATTTTCGGTGATGTTGGAAATTAAACCCTGGGCTAGACAAGTGATCCCGTCTCAAGTGTCCCCCTTCTAGAACTTGTTCTGACATGCATATGTGCCTGCCTGCCTCCCTCACTTCCTTTCTTTACCAGGGCCTGTGAGAGGGCTCAAGGGGTAAAGGAACCTGCTACCAACCCTGAATTTATCCCCAGGACCCACATGGTAGAAAGAGGGAAAAGATCTACACACACACACACACACACACACACACACACACATACACACAATTAAACTTTTTAATAAAGACTGGCTTTACACAAACACACACACACCATGGTATACAGACACACACACAAACAATAAAAATGTAATGAAATTTTTTAATAAATTTAAAGACTAGCTTTAGCTGGGCAGTGGTGGCGCACGCCTTTAATCCCAGCACTTGGGAGGCAGAGGCAGGCAGATTTCTGAGTTCAAGGCCAGCCTGGTCTACAGACTGAGTTCCAGGACAGCCAGGGCTATACAGAGAAACCCTGTCTCGAGAAAAAAAAAAAAAAAAACAACTAGCTTTACCAACTAAGTAATAAATAGATTAGAAAAATTTCTTGAAATGGCAAATTTCCTCATATTAATAAGAATAAAGATCTTTTTCATATCAACTCCGAACTGAACACTTGTCTCCTGAAAATGTTGCCATTTTTCTGGTCTGGGTCTGTTTCACTTGATCACTGGGCTTAGTACTGTATCAGATGGCACTGATGCTGACTTCACATGTTCTTTCAGTGGCCTAAATGGGTACATCTTGATCTGTGACTACTCTCTCCAGGGTCGTACACATTTCACCTGCTCTCCTTCCTCACTCTGTGCTGGCCAAATCACCTTCCCAAAGTCTGCCTGGAATACTAAGGGACTGTGGAATTGACGGGATTTGCAGGTTTTTTTATCTGATTTCTCCTTATTACCTTCATATCCCAACTCAAGTGTAATCTTCCCAGAATGCCCCTTCCTAAGGCACCCATACTAAGGGCAGTCCACCTTGTCCTAGCACTTCCAAACCAACACCACTTCCTCAATCTAGCTTTCTCGCTTGTACTTATCTTCATTTTTTTTTTTAATTTGCTTTGATCACTTTTCTGTGCCAAGTGCTTAGAACATAATAAAATACTGGCTAGCAAACAGAACATCAAGGATATATTTAGCATGCTCCTGACAATGAATAAGGCAAATGCTAATGCAAGTAGATTATTAGATTATAATATTAGACTATAATAAATCTATATTAGATTATAATAAATGCTCTCGCTTTTTTTTAAGTTGCCAGTAATTTTCTGAGCACACTGAGCACAATCAGCAAGTATGGCGGCATGTGCCTGTAATTCTAGTACTCAGGAAGCTAGACCACGAGGACTTGGTAAAGAACATAACTAAAAGTGACTGCATCCTCCAGTGGGAGTCCTGCATCTCCAGGACAGCATCTCCAGGGGAGACATTCCGGGGCAGAAGGACCACTATGCCTCTGCAATTTACAACCTCAGGATAGCTCCCTCAATGAAATGACATGGCTCAAATGTTAAGTGAGGAGAAGAGAAAACTGAAATACAGTAAAATGCTATTGTTTCTCCAAAAGTAGAAATAATACAGATAAGGCATTTTCTTGTCCTCTTTGCCATGTAACTGATTACAGAGAAAGTTTCTAATAAGAATGCTATGATCAGTCTTCACCCAGACAACTTACAACGTCACAGGCTGGTCACACTGAGACAACTCAGGCACGAGTCTCCATCTTTAAAAGATCACTAATCATTTCTATTGCATCAAAACTGAACAAAACTAGTTTTCTAAGTTTACTTAATTAGAACAAAGTGAACCAAAGAGTTCTTGAATTAAATCTAACTAGAATTAGCACAAAATTCAGTTGATATCACTGTTTACAATGACTGGAAAGTAGATTAAATTTAAGTGATTATAAAACTCAAATAAATTGTAGAACATTTAGAAAGGTATAAAGGTAAGCAGGTGATGATCAACTACAATGCAAAAGTCTTGTGTACACCTCCCATAGAGCCCACTTAATACAAGACTTTAATTTAATAATCTCCACAGAAGTCTGCAATTATAAACAAATTGGCTTACTTGTCCTCTACCAGGATTTTCCTTTGGAACAAGCAGAGAAACCACTGGTCCATACTTCTGACACTCCTCTTTTACATCTTCTACAACATCTGGTTATAAAATCACACAGCAGGTAATTATTACTCGAGAATTCAGTGACACATAGCTAAGTAATAAAGTTATTTTCCTTCCCTTAGAAAATAATGCATAAGAATATAAATTCAATGCATTAACAATTTTAAATACATTACAGCTAAATAATTCAAAATTTAAAACAACTTTATTCTGTTTCTCCTCTTGAAGGCAGCCAGCACTGTGAAGCTCCTTCTATATTTTGCCAGTGTTATCAGTTATACAAACAAATGCATTTCATGTATTTCAAGTAAAAATTTCAACTTTAATATTTCTTAAGTGTCTCTTTCTGGTTTTCTATATTTAAAAAAATACATTTATTTATTTTATGTTTATGAGTATTACTTTGGAACTGGAATTATGAGACCATTATGAGCTGTGTGTGGGCAACTGCTGATCCATCTCTCTGGCCAATTTCCTATATTATTAAATGAAATCTTCTCATTTGTTTATAGCTGTATACTTTTGGGCAGTTTATAATGTTCAAGAAATTACCCAATGTCTCCCATCAGATGAATTTTAGTTATTTCAAAAATTTTGATATTATATAAAATATTGCTTACATCTCATTTGAGTATTTCTCACTTTTGATGCACACTTTTTCAAGCAATGTCATCTAAAATTTGTTTTTCTATTTTCTATACTATTCACTGTTTATGTGCCAGGCAACAAAGACGTATCAATTTGATTTGAACTAAAGTAGTTTGATTTCTTCCACCATGTTTATTGGGAGACCACTATGCATTCTTTCAAGAATGTTACTATATTCCCGTATTACTAGCTCATGACTAAGATCCAATTCTTAATCAGAGAAAGCAATCACATTAGATATGTGCACACTGGTCGCTGTTACAGCTTTAACCAACTGTTTTCCAACAGAAAAGATACAATCATTCCAAACTACTCTTCTCTCAACAGGTCATACTTTCTACATGATAGTACTTCCTGTTACCCACTTCCCTTTTAGATAACTAATTACTGACTCAGATGTCACTTCTGCTGTGAAAGCCCACACTCATCACTGAGGCTAGGCTGAGCGCCCTCTCATCACATGTGTAAGTCTCTTTTGCATTAAAAACAAGAAATAATCCCACACAAAACAGTGAATGTGTCGTAAATGAAAAAGTTGTTAAAAGCAAGAAGGAGAGGTAAAGAGCAGAAATGACAGCACAGAGAAGAGACGGAAAAGACAGATCAGAGACAGAATCTTAGGGGTAAATCTCTGTGGATTTATCAAAGAGTACAAATGACTGATGAATTAAAAAGAGTGAGTATATTACACATGAATTCAATAATGTGGTACTTTAAATGTCTGGCCCAGGGAGTGGCACTATTTGGTAGTGTGGCCTTGTTGGAGGTGAGTCACTGTGGGTGTAGGCTTTAAGAACCTCAAGTTAGCTGCTTGGAAGCCAGTTATCTCTTGTGTGCCTTCAGAACAAGATGTAGAACTCTCACCTTCACCTGCACCATGCTTGCCTGGGTGCTGTCATGCTTCCAGATTGATGATAATGGACTGAACCTCTGAACCTGTAAGCCAGCCCCAATTAAATGTTGTCCTTATGAGAGTTACCTTGGTCATGGTATCTCTTCATAGCAGTAAAACCCAAACTAAGACAAATGGTCTTTTTCAATTTTTTGTGTTTAGAAAAAACTATAAGAATCCTAAGAACAAAGTATATATAGCACAAAGTATATATAGCACAAACATTAGTCAGAGTCTGTGTGTAAAAGAGAAACATTACAGTATAATTTGGGAAGCACAAACCTTCATATTCATCTTCATTTTCAAGATAATCATCATCCAACACATTGAGGAGTCTGAGCACTGGAGTCGGAAGCATCACCAGATCTTCAATGTGAGGGGCTGTGAAAGTACATGACAGTGTGCTTCAGTGTAATTCTCCCATAAACTGATAAACTGATCAAATAATAAGCCTGAGCATATACACAGATGATTGCCAAATGATGGGGGTGAAGAATGGGGGTTATGACAGATACAACTTACCAAAAGGAATGCTAAAGAATGGGCTGCACAATGCCATCTCAGCAGGGATCCTTCTGCTCGGGTCGTCGTGAAGCATGCTAAAACACAACAGCATCATTGTGATTACTGCCAGACCTTCTGAGAGTGAAACTATCAGAGAAAAAGGCTGAGCGCTCATGTTGGAACTACCTCTATATATAGCATAGATTGCCGAACCATCCCCTGTGGAGCATACAAAGGCCACTTGAGCAACAAACAGTGCAATAAACCACAAGACCTTTCTGAGACAGCATCATGCTATGATCTGATGTCTCTAACTAATAAATAAGAACTGATGCACAGTGTTTATCGTAACACAATTCTTCTGTTGTTTTTTTCAAGACAGGGTTTCTGTGTATAGCCTTGGATATCCTGGAACTCACTCTATAGACCAGGTTTGACCTCAAACTCATAGACATCCACCAGCCTCTGCCTCCTGAGTGTTGGAATTAAAGGTGTGTGCCACCACCGCCCAGATTATGGTAACGTAATTTAAAGACAGAAACAACAACAACAACAACAAAAAAAGAAGATAGTGGTGGGATAAATGAATCTTGCCAAATTCCCCTTATCTTAAAGCAATTTTATGCAAAATTCTATAGGTAACACCAGACACAGATTCAGTAATAGCAATGCTCATACAGTACGGGCATTCATTTAAGAGAAAATACAGAATAAACAAGTGTGCAACCAATAAATGAGAGAAATAAGGTAGGAAGCAAACAAACACAATAAAAGCTAAACAGATACTCACTGGGAAGTAAAGCAAGTCAATTCTAAACAGCAGGGGACGACTCTACCAGGTAAACACAGGGAGCCTCTGGGAAATCTTAGGAGCTAGAGTAGCCCAGAAACTAAGACTTCCTAAAATAATCAGTCCAGTCACCTAGCCATGGATAATCCCAGTGTTAAAAAAAAAAAAAAAAAATCTAATTTAAATAATCCAAACGGGGGAGACAAGAAGACAGACAGAAGGACAGAGCCGGGGACTGAGGGGGGGGGGGGGGGGGGGGGAGTACAACAAAACAAAGAGAAAACAAGAAGAGCCAGACCATAGGAGGGAAAAAAAACACCTTTCCCCTCATTTGCTGCTTTGAGACAATGCCTCACATGTAGCTCAATGTACCCTCAACTACAGCTCTTCTACCTCAGCCTCCAAAGCAGTGGGCAAAAAGACGTGTCATCATGCCTGGCTCTCTTTAAGATCACATAAAAACAGCAGAAGATGACCCTATGTAATTAGATAGGTCTATTCTGTTTGAAACAAGGCTGGTCTTGAAATCACAGAGATCCGCCTGCCACTGCACTAGAGAGCTAAGATGAAAGATGCGGGCCACATTACCTGGCTAAAATTCCTCTCTCTGAGGGAATTACGGCTACATACCTAGGCAAATCAGTAATAATAGAAATAGATTAAAGAAAAAACCTTAAGCTGGTCAAGGTCTACAGAGCAAGCGATACTCTATCTAACATACCTTTTGATAAGGTCTCTGAGGTGATAGGCTGGAATTGCGGCATTCACCACTGCTTTACTGGCAAATATATGATCAATAATAGCAGAACTGTTTGCCTAAAAGGAGAAAAGTGTTCCTTATGTTACTCAACTCAGCTTGCATTCACTAAGCAGTAGCCATATGTAACATAAGTAGCCACGAGTAACATGTAACACCTTTTCCAAGAACTTACAATCTTAACTGGAGGAGACTGCATATCATGAATTTCTAGAGGCACCAATACAGCCTGGCACTAAGAACATCTCTTAGATAAATGGGTAGAATTCAAAAATCACACTGAGATGCGGTTTTATGAATGAACGCAATGGTGGGTCACAATGCCTGATGGTAAATAAGCTATCATTGAGAAAAGGAGGAAGTATGAGAATGCTGCCTTTGCTACAATATTCACAACTCCATTTATAGGTACTAGCACTCTGTCCTTAAGAGCTGTGGTGATTAATTTTCACTGTCAATTCAGAATCACTGAGGACACGGGTAAGGTAAGGTGCACCTCTTTGGTTTGCCTGCTAGGACAATTCCAGAGGATATTAACAGAAGGGGGAAGGTCTGCACACCATGTAGATGGCACCATGTCATGGACTTGGGGACAGAATAAAGAGAAAAGGGTGACAGACAACCAAGCACTAGAATGACCTTTCTCTGCTTCCTGGCCATGCCCTCCCTGCTAGCATGGACCAATACCTTTCAAACTGTGATCCAAAATAAGAATTTCCACCTGATACAGGAATGTAACTAACACTGTGCAACAAGGTACTGCGCTCACTCAGAATGCAGAACTGTGTAAAAAACTAAGAAGATCAGATCTTCTTCAGAGCCACCATCACTAGAATCTACTGGCTACTTACCATGGGCCACTAACTATTTTTAAAAACTGTGTAACATTGCTTCTTAGCCTTAGTAATCTTGTAAGATATCACATTACCAGTCTTCCTATTCTACAGGAAGTACATGGTTTGACAAACTCACATAACTTAGAAGGTGTGAAAGCGAGGCACAGTTGGACTTCAGAATCTATGCTCATGCCCATTTGGCAGTCTGCATAAGGTGATAAAACACATCGTGTATGACACTTTACCTACAGAGACATGTATTTGAGATGCCATTAGCATATGTCATGCCTCCAAATTTCACACAAATATGAGTGTGACCTACTTCTGAAGTGCTCTGGGCCAAGCAGATACAGTCCAAAAGGCCTAAATACACTCAAAGCTAATTTAATGATTGATCCACACTCAGAATAGCACTAATGAACAAAACCCTGAGCTTGTGAGCTACTTGAAAATATCACTAATAGGAAAAAGTGACACTGGCTTTATGCCCATAGCAGCATTTTCTTGGGCCAAAACTAAACATAAGGCAATCCCACCAAAGAGGAGGTATATCAGCAAGGATTGCTAAAATGTGAATCAGTGACTGGAATTTACACATATCAAACTATAATGCTCACCTATTTGTTAGATGTTTATTATTAAAATATTTAATTTTAAATACTTATTGTTTAAAACTAGATGCAGTGATATCAAATACACACACACACACACACACACACACACACACATATATATATATATATATATATATATATATATATATATATATAAAACTTCAAGCATAAAGAATACTGAGACCGTCACAATAATAAACCCTCACAATACATTTAAAAAACTAGTTATGGTTAATTCCTAACATAGAGACATACAAAGAGTTCACTCTCATATCAGGGGTTTGAAACTTAGGAGCCATGTTCCCCCACAGACAACAAAACCAGTATCCACTATACCACAGCCATATGAGCTAACCAGCCAGTGCAGAATGTTTAACAGCCTATAAAATATTAATAAATGCAAAGTACCATGGAACTTTGGAAAGCTTCTAAGCTTGAAGTAGAACTGATCACCCAGCATGTGACCTGGAACAAGCTATATTATACAACTGTGCCTCTAGCTTTCACTTGTAAAACAAAAGCAGCCAATACCCACTCTACCCTCATAAGAATTGTTCAGAAACATTAACAAGAGTATGCATTAAAGTACTTTTTTAATTGTAAAGCATTATTAAAAAATAATTATTTAACTTACCACCTATAATTCCACTGGTAACACTTCCAAAGTTAATACAAATAATTTAGTCAACAAAGGGAATTTTTTTGCCTGTTTGGGAAAATGCATGCAAATACTTCAGCAAATGCTTACTACACCCCAAGACCTAGAGTGACAGCTGGGAGGATGCAATGCCATCAATGTGTGTGAAGCTGTAGGGATGAGTAGAGGTACTGAAGGTACTATAAATACATCTGGAAACATGAAGGAGAGGATACAATCAGATTCCCCGACCTTCCTACCCCTAAAAATTATCAGTATGAAGCAAATATTCCTGACCTGATTAAGAGCCTCAAAACAAAACTGTCGTGCAATTTACCTTCCATTCCTGAGATCTGACTGTATGTTTCAGTTTCATTCCTGAGAACATTTCCAGTAAAATAATTCCAAGGCTCCACAGATCAACAGCTGAGGTGCACTCTGTGTCACTCTGCAGGCCGGCCTGGGCCAAGCAGTTTTGCAGTTCTGCTTCAGGAGCTCGGTACCCATCTGTCTGAATGTACTTTACATCCTACAGAAGATGAAGAGGCATTGTAGCTGGTAAGTCTCGCTTTTCCATCATCTCTACCATGAATTCTTCAATGCTATGGAAGGTTGATGACAAAATGCCATGAATTTGAGTCCTTATCTACCATAATTCTTCAGTTCCTTAAATGGACAGTTAGCACAGGAAAGCTGGACATGTTCTATACATGTGCTCAAAAAAGAAGTCTTTTTTTTTTTTTAGATAGTTTCTTACCTATTAAACACTGATGAGAAAGACATTCTGCAAAAACCTGATAAATCATAGAGAAAGGAGGACTTGGCTGGACGGTCACATCCTCCATGAGCCATCAATAAGAGTTCCATCACCAAAGAAACAGGGACAGCAACCCAGCAACTCACCAAATGCTGACAGAGTCTGAAGAGCTTAATGCGGGCTAAGTCTGCTTATTAATTTCTGAGCTTTCTTGAGCCTCACTAACTCTTACCTGACCTAAATTTATGTCCGTCTTTCACAAAGCATCACTGAAATTCTTTTAATTTGGTACACTAGGAACACTTAGGTATTTTGGAAGTACACCTTTAGTCTTTAAATTACCGTCGTCATGAAAAATACTTGGCTTGGCCCATTAGATGTTTAAAGCACAATGGAGAATAAAGTTATTTCTTACCTGATTGCCTTCTTTGAAGCTGAGTCCAAAGTCGATAAGCTTAAAGCACTCATTCTCCGCACTCCACAGGATGTTCCGTGGTTTGAGGTCTGCATGGACGTAGCCCTCATGGTGAAGAAAAGCAAGGGCCTCCAGAACGTCTCTGGCACAGTGCTGTATCATCCACATGGAGCAACCCTGGTGACTGGAATATAAAAGCAATTCCGAAACGCTGACGTCCAGGAGTTCAAGCAGCAGACATCGTGACGGCACATTTGGAGAGAAGTGGATGGTAAACACTCCATACAAGGTCACTACAAGAAGAGAAACACTATAGAACTTAAAAAGACCAGATTCACAGGGACTTACTATCAAAGTAGTCAACTCTGCTAGATAAATTTGAGATAGTCTAAAGAGAATTTTATCTTCATGTGTGCACACATACATGCACATGCAAGACTGCTGTGAGAGCTAGTGCTACGATAAAAAACTGAAATTTCCTCTAATCCAGGGGTTCTCAACCTTCCGAATGTTGCAACACTCTAATATAGTTTCTCATGTGACCCAACCACAAAGTTATTTTTGTTGTTACTTCATATCTATAATGCTGGTTAAGAATCATAATGTAAATATGATATGCAGGATATCTGACATGCTTCTGACCACTATGAAAGGGTCACTCAGTTCTGTAAGGGGTCTTGACCCACAGGTTGAGAACCACTGTTAAGGCAGATTTACCAGTGTCTCCTCCCAGAAGAGTTAATCCAGTTGGGTGGGTCAGTGACCTAAGGGCCTAACAGGCTAAAGAAGTATGAATCTACTCTATGCTTTTCTCAAACACTTTCCGTTAGGCTCTTCTTCCGGGCTCGTGGTTGCCTGACCGCTCCCTACTCCCCCTCCACACATGGGTGCCCTCCATGTTGCTTACCACAAGCAGCATGGCTTTTTCTTTATTTTACTTTTTCCTCCTCAGAGCAGCTATGGAGATTTATAGCTTGCCTGCCCTGGGGTTTTTCTTTTAAAGTCTAATGAAGAATCCCTCAAGCATTTCCCCAGTGTCATTTGGCTATAGAGGCAGTATGCACCCAAATCACTGGAAATACTGGGAACCGAATGCAGGTCCTCTGCAAGAACAGCAAAGGTTCTTTAACGACTAAGACACAGACACACACACACACACACACACACAAACCCACCCCAGAGATAAGAATGACAATGATAAGCAAGAAGCTTCCACTATTTTTCCAGTGAGTACTACTATTTTTGGACAGCTGGATTATTTAAATAAAATAAAGTATTTAAATAAAATATGGCAAAAGTTTCAACCTGTGTTTCACCAAGAACTCAACATTCAGTGCTGGGTGAATATGCCCTTAAGGTGTCAAGATAACATTATTTTTTAAAAGCCTATTGTAAGGGTAAAAATTAAAACAGCTCAGCAGAGACCACAAACAACTTGGCAAAGACCGCAGTATGGCTTGCTGAACTTACTGAGAATAGCCATAATAAAAATATCAAGCCCCTCTAGGGACGAGGTGACCAGAAATGTAGAAACAACCAAAGACATATCTTGACCAGTCTAAACATGCCCAAGTGAGTAATGGGCCACCTGGAGTTTAACCTAGAAGGTCTGAAGCTTCATGGTCAAAAATAGTGGGCCATCCAGCCTCTCAAAATGATTGCTTACGTGAAGTGCTGATGTTTTAAATATCCAATCATATGTAACCGTGCCAGAATTTCCCCCTTTTCCCTCCCCCCTTGTGCCTCCCCCTATAAAAGTTCTAAACTTCCTGGGGTCTTCATCGAAAATTCTCTCCCCTTCGTGGGATGAGTTTCAATCCAAGGGCCCTTGTTAGTAAACTGCCTTTTGCCATTGCATCAAGTCAGTCTCTCATGTCTGCTTGGGTGCGTGCTGATTGGGACTTGAGTTGGAGGTCCTCTTTCTGGGTCCTTACACTATAATAGTAAGTAACCCTTAAAAGCCCATTGAAGGTTGCCTGACTCAAAACAGCATTCTATGCTCATTCATATAAATAAATATATATATATATATATATATACACATACACACACACACACACACACATAGATTACAAATAACATAGATTACATTCTAATGTAATCATGCAGAGATTCAACAAGTACTGAGGCGTGCGAAAAATGTCCCTGTCAAACACCAAAGATATAGTGATATACCACTTAGTAAAATTATGGGAAAAAAAAGAAAAACAACACTAGCATTAGGACATTCTTCTGCCAATCAGTATTAAAAAAAAAAAAAGAAAAAAGAAAGAAAGAAAAGAAAAAAGAAAAATAAAGACTTTCCTCAAGCTATGCATGGGTTCTATTTGCCAAGATCTACAGCGTTTCTTTACTAACCAAAGTTCTAACCGCTTACAAGCTCCACCTGTAAATGGAATAACAGTGAAGACTGGTTCCATATTTCAATGGCCTAAACAAGCTTACATTCTAAATCTCTGAGTCATGAAAGTCTTACTGAAGCAAATGCAGTGCTCCTAAATATCACACTTCCATAACTTCTAACTAATACTGGGTTCCCTCTCCCAAACCACACGAAATATGTATCTTTTGCGTTGTTAGTAGTATGTCATTTCATGTCAATGATGCCATTGGATGCCATAGCCCTAGAATATTTTCATTTTGGGAAAGATGCAAAAATTTCCACTCAAGACATGACAAACTCATGCCTTTCACTGCAGAAGGCATTTCTAACTAGCGGATAAAAACAGGACTTTACTAAGCATTTGCTATGTAATAATCACCTCAACCGTATATCTCAGACAGCTGCAAAGTAAAGGTGGATTGAAAAGGGACCTGCATCGCGTGACAACTAGTGAGGCCCGACACTCTCCTCCCACCTAAAGGACCAAAGGCCGGGGGCCAGGCTGGGGACGGGTGTGTTTAGACAGGAACTTGGGCAGGAGATTGGGGACAGCCACAATTACCAATGTTCCTGTGACCCTGCAACTGCTCCAACGCCGCCCTCTCTTTGCGGAAACCATACTCCGCGGCCGAGGCCGCAGCTCCGGTGGTTCCCGGCGGCAGGAACTGCTTGAGGGCGCCGGGGGGCGAGCCCGGGGTGCCGCAGCAGCGCACCCGGTACACCGAGGCCGAGGAGCCGCTGCCCAGGCGGCTCTGTACCTGCCACAGCCGCCCGAAGGCCTCCAGGAAGCGCGGCGGCTCGGCGCCCCACGCGCAGCCGGACCCCGCCATGGTGCGGGCTGGGGCGAGGACTCGCGAGCCGACACGACGCGCCAGGCAGGCCCGCGGCGCCCGCCGTCACATCCCCGCCCGGACCCGCCGCTCCGCAGGGAGGGGCTCGCAGCGCCCGCACCGACTCCCGGGAACTTCAGGCCGCCATGACACCGGAAGCGGCAGTGCACTCAGACCCAGCAGTCGGAAGTGGGGAAAAGCCAATCCTACAGGCTGAAGGAGGCGGGCCTAAGAGTGGCGGGGCTTCCAGGGGGAAAATTTGGTTTAACAAAAAAAAAAAAAAAAAGGACTATGAGATATTTAACTTAATTAATAGAGATGGGGGGTGTAGGACAGCAGTAAATTGCTTACCTTGCATGTGCAAGGAAGGCCCTGGATCTAGCAACACATATGGTGATTAATGATTTTCATTTTGTTTTATTTATCTTGTTTTTAAAGATTTATTATATTTGTATTTATATGTTTGTGTTATTTGCGCCACACGTGTGCAAGATGTCAGAAGAAGATGTGATATCCTCTGGTGCTGAAGTTACAGGAGATTGTGAGCTGTCAAGTTTGGGTGATGGGAACCAAAATCCTGTCCTGTGGAAGATCGATACTTCCTCTTAGCCACTGAACTGTCACTTCAGTAGCTCTCTTATTTTTTATTACCTATTGTTACAAGCCCAAAGCTACGTGCTTTCACATCTTCCTGATATCCATCATCACTACCTCCTTTTCTAATATAACCCTGATTACTTTGGGACAGTGATATACACAGAAGAAATACCTGTCCTCTCTCAGAGGTGGTTGTGACCATGTCTAGTCAATGAGGCATTCCTGCACAACTGACAAGGATTTGTTGGACTTTGCTTTACTCATATAGATGTTGTGTTTTCTTCCCTGTAACTTCCTCTCTCCTGCTTTTAAAATAAGCATAAAGCTAAAGACAGATGGGGGGAAGGAGGGCTCCGCAGTTAAGAGTACTGGCTGCTCTTCCAGGTCTGGGTTCAATTCCCAGTATCCACATGGCAGCTCACAAGTGTCTGTAGCTCAAGTTCCAGAGGATCTGGCACTCTTACACAAACATGCAGGCAGAATATTAATGTACATCGAAATAAATAAGTCTTAAAAAAAAACAAATAAATAAATACATATTAGTCATCTTGTGTCCATGAAGCAACTGAGAGAATAAAAGCCAGATACCAATATATTAATTGTATATGACCTATTGTGTCAAAAAGCCCAAAATACATTGTCTTAGATATGGATATATTACTTTCTCCAATCAATAACACAGGGTTCTGCCAATCTCAATGGGCTTTTATCTTTGTGACCTATGTGTTTGTTTTGCCTTTCAGCATTTCATGGTTTTGAGAATGGGGAAAGAGAACCATATATCTGATTCTACTGAGGGTTAGACCTATAATGGTACTCAGCTTTCTGGTTGGATCCCATTACCTAGTGCTTAGCTAGCCATTTGACCCCAGCTAGTCCCAGCCAAGCTGGAAAATCCACGTAAAATTAGATTGCTAATGGAAGAAGAGGAGAATGAGTATTTAGGGACAAAAGCAAGTCTACCTCACTCATGACACAGCAGAAATGCAAAAAGTTTCTGGGTCCTTGACAGCTTGGTAGAAATCCACTGTGCTTCCTGAATCCATCTTCCAGACCTCTTGCTGGGGTAGGCAGGAGGTGCAGGGTGCCTATTTGATTAAAGCAGCTTAATGTTTTAAAAACACAACAGGGTTTTTTATGCAGATAAATATGCATAGTGTAGCATTTACCACATTAATCATTTTAAGTGTATAGTGAGTAATATAAAGTACACTGACTTGTGCAAACATTATCAACAAACACCTGCGGAACATGTTCCATCCACCTTGCAGAAACTAATCCCTCTGCCCATTAAATAAGCCACCAACCCCTCTTTCCCTCAGCCCCTGACAATCTACCATTTCATTTTGATTCTTATATCCATAGGCCTCTTTTTAGTCTACTTGCTAACTTGCGTTAATACACGTGGTCATACAAATCTCCATCCACAAACCACTGGGATTCACACAGATAACCTCTTGATGACTGAATACAAATAGCAGCTCATAACCCAAGGACCACTAACTGACCGAATGACTCGAGATGAAGAGGAAGTGGGCTTTGACCTTAGCCTTTACCATGCTCCAATTTCAACAGGAAGTAGCCAGGACTGAAGTTGGCAACTGTGAATCATTAGGGCCCCATCTTCTGCTACCAGCTCTTCTAGAAAGTCTTTTATTTAAGCAAACAGCATGGAATGCTAGATCACAGAAGCTGATTTGGTAGAGGTCAGCCATGCTTTAGATCCTATCTTGTGCACACACACACACACACACACCAAGCTGCTAAATTCTTAGCATGTAGAAACCCAAAGGTGTAGTGGGACAATGGATTTATACTCTTCATTAATCTGTTAAACACAGAGACTCCCTCCCCTATAAACCTAAGTTCAAATCTAGAGCACCTATGTAAAAAACCAGGCACGGGAAGCATGCCAGTAACCTCGGTGCCAGCAGTAGGACCTGTAAGGACAAGAAGACAGCTAGTACTTGCTAGGTGCCAACCTGACAGCCTCCATTGGCTTCTGAACATACATCACACACCCCAGACAGAATGAACAATTTTACGGAAACTTTTAGCAGTAAGAGCTTCTAGAAAACATCTTTTTTTAATCAAGAAAAAAAAAATCTGGAACAAGAGATGGCAGTGTTTGTTAGAGATAACTAGTGACTGCAGGACCATTTCATGATCTAGAAAGAAACACTGTGGGATGTTTCAGTCTTCCTGATGAGACCACTCTCACCGGTTCAAAGCATACAGGTAGCATTCATATCAACAAGAGCTTAAAGGAACACTTTAGCTTCCTTATCACGTGAAGGGGGAAAAAAATCAAGTCTATCCTAATAAATCATGCCGATGAGCTTCCAAAAAATAGTCCAAGGAAAGGCTCAGAAATAGAAGAGGAAAAAGTTTTCCTCTGTTCTCCAGCCTAGTTTCTTACTACTACATAATCTACCCCCATGGCTCAGGTCCATACTGACTGAGCCTGGCTCAGGGATGCCTGACACATGCTCAGCACCTTCTAAAAAGATAAAATAGAAGAGATGGTGCATCATCACGGGTCCCCACAGGGAAGATAGGTTCGAGCTCTCTCAATCTGATGTCCTTAGGCATCTGAGGGTGGACTGTCACCATTACACATAATCCAAACTCCAGAAGTGCTTATTCTGTGACAGGAAGATGGTATTTCTTTCAGTCTCCATAACAACATGTACTGTTTTATAGTAGGAGAAAAGGATGCTGAGTTGGAAGTCACTTGTCTAATGCCATGTGCATAATGAAAAAGTTATAGACTCAGGGCTAAAAGCCGAGCAGTCCAACTCTGGAACCTATTCTCTCCTATGCTTTTTGAATATAAATAATATTTTATCTAAGGCTTTCTAGTTTCTTGGGGCAGGTGCTAAAAACTAAAAATTTTGCTGTTCACTAATGCTTCTACTGGAAGCTGGAGAAGACAGCAGTGAGACTGAGAAATCATTTTCCTTGCTACCACATAGACAGATGGCCGAAAGTTTTAAAAAAGAGGAATAAGAGTCCTCATAAGCTTTCCTCATTCTGCTTTGCCACATTTTAAAGGAGCGAAAACTACAGTTCTTCTCTTCTTTATTAGTACTGCTATGTCATACGAGTGGAATACAAAATTTTTATTAGTGCATATCAAATTATTGTCTGTAAGAAAATCAACCATCACTTTCTATATTACGGTCAGCTCTAGCACAGCCAAAAAAAAAAAAAAAAAAAAAAAACCCAACCAACCAAACAAACAAACAAACAAAAAAACCCTGCCAACCATCTCTCTATGCACTTACCCCTTCCCCATGAAACAAACACATCAGAAAAATTATAATATTAAATGTGCTCAGTATCAAACAGGACATGGTGGTGCATGACTAATTTACCCAGCACTAGGGGGTTTCCTTGGTTTAGCTGATCATCTTTCTCCTGCTTACTAACACTCCCACCAGAAGGTGGAGACAAGAGCAGGGAGATTTAGAAGTCTACATTGCTCAAAAAGTACCCTGGGGGAAGTGGCTGTCCTAAATCTGAGGGAAAGACTGGAAGGAAAGAAAACAACTGAAATGAATGGCTGGCTGTGTTTTCCTTGCCCCCACCCCCCACTCTACTCCCTACCCCCACACCCCATTCCACTGTCTCTTACTCTCCTTAATTTGCTTTCTCCAAATCCTTCCCATCTTGCATCTGGTAGTATCCTAGTTAGGGTCACTATTGCTGTGATGAAACACCATGAGTGCAGAAACTTGGGAAATATGCTGGATAGTTTGTCAACTTGACACAAACCAATCTGAGAGGAGGGAACTTCAATTAAGAAAATGTCTCCATAAGACTGGGCTACAGGCAAGCCTGTAGGCCATTTTCTTTTTGCTTTTGTTTTTGTTTTTTGTTTGTTTGGGTTTTTGTTGTTGTTGTTGTTTTGGGTTTTTTTTGGGGGGTTGCTTTGTTTTGTTTTGTTTTTGGTGTTTGTTTGTTTCGTTGGTTTTTGAGACAGGGTTTCTCTGTGTAGCCCTGGCTGTCTTGGAACTCAGTCTGTAGACCAGGCTGGCCTCGAACTCAGAAATCTGCCTGCCTCTGCCTCCCAAGTGCTGGGATTAAAGGCGTGCGCCACCACTGCCCGGCTTGGCCATTTTCTTAATTAGCGATTAATGGAGGACCCATTCCACTGTGGGTGGTGCCGTCCCTGGACTAGTAGTCCTGAGTTCTATTAGAAGGCAGAGTGAGGAAGCCACACACAGGGACCAAGCTACTAAGCAGCATTCCTCCATGGCCTCTCCATCAGCTTTCTTTCTCCAGGTTTCTGCTCTGCTTGACATCCAGTCCTGACTTCCACTACTGATGAGCTGTGATAAGCAAGTGTAAGCCAAATAAACCCTTTCCTCTCCAAGTTGCCTTTGGTCATGACATTCAAT